AGTAATAATCCCAACTATTGGCGGTCCGCTTATAATAATCCTAACTATTGATTATTTTAGAATAATCCCAACTTTAGGGACCTTCCGCCAATAATGGTCCCTAAGAATAAATTCTTGTAGTTTCTAAAGTGGATGAGAAGAGATATAGCAAGTAATGCCTATATATAATCCCAACTTTTAATTTTTACACTTAATTTCTATTTAAAATTCAATTTTTATAGGAGTTAAATCTAATCATGGACCATTATTAGCGGACGGTCCCTAAAGTTGGGATTATTCTGAAATAATCAATAGTTGGGATTATTATAAGCGGACCGCCAATAGTTGGGATTATTACTATCAATTTTTCCTATTTATAATGTTATTTAGAGCCTATTATGTAACACATAAAATGACTGAATCTATTGAGATTGTTGAAGTTCTTGCTTAAACCGTTGAAATGGCGGGATATAGTGAATTATGGAAAATTTGATTTTAAAACATATATAAAACATATTTATTTATAAAATAAATAAACATATATCTGAAAAAGTAGCTACAATTTTCGTTTATAACACAATTCAGGCATAACATTAACTTGAAGCTTTCTTATTTTGATCATAACACAATTTTAGCTTGCGAAAATAAAATTTAAGTATTTGATGAAAAATTGACTGAATTTGTCCATTATACTTTTTTTGAAAATCTATTTATATTCAAAGTGTTATAACATTTTCATCTAAACTCCAACTTTACAAAACATATTAAAATTCATCATTCTTGTAACGTTTCATATGACAATAATATTGCATATAATTGTTTTTGATTATTTAATAAACAACTTCATGTTTTTCAATCACGATATAAATTTAAACATAATTATAAATAATTAATTTGATGTGTTTCTTATGAGTATACTTTTATAGTCACTATGATATAATTTTAAACATAATTATAAATAGGTTACTTAATAAACCTTCAGATTTTTTATTATTATTTTATATGCAATATTGGTCTCATATGAAAGATCATAAAAAGTTATGAATTTTAATATATGTTTTTTAAAAATTAGAGTAATTATGAAAAAGTTATGACATTTTAAAGAAAATGGGTGTTTTATATGATGGGCCCCATCAATTATATTTCTCCCCAAGCCTACATTTCCTTGTTGGTGCATATAGTTCGGTACTCTTATTAATATAATTAGCCACATGGCATCTTTATAGCAAATGAGCAAAATGTGGAGAGAAAGACACATAGGATTAATGAAGGGTGTAATTGTCTTTTAATGAGTTATTTCTTTTCTTATATATAAATAGACTCCTAATTCATTAGTTTATTAATTAATTAATTTATAATAAAAATACTAATATATAATTAAATACACATCAATACTATTATTATACTTTCCAATTATTTATATAGTCTTTTAAATTTTTTAAATTTATAATAGGTATTATGTTTGTATTTATTATCCATCTAAATCCTAATGTTTTTTTAATTTTGTTAAAATCAATATACTTAAATACTATATATAATGTTTTTTACATTGCATATATTGTATTATCAATATCATAATATTATGAGGGAGTATAATTTTTCTATTTAAGAATTTAAGCTTTTATATAATAAATTAAGTATATGTATTGTTGTTGACCGGGTTTTCCCGGCGTTGACCGGGTTGACCCGCCGGGTCCGGGTTGACCCGTGACCCAGTGACGCGGCCGGGTCGTTCACCGGTCCAGTTTTTACAAGACATTTATAACAAAAGTAAATAATCAACAGTGCAATAAGGGCATAATAGGCAAAATGAAACTTTATCATACTTTCTTAAAAAACGTGCCCATCTCCTATGTTGCAAATCTTAAAAGCTTATAATGTCCAATGAAGGTAAGGGTATTTAAGGAATGAAAAAAATGTTGGTGTAATCGTCTTGCTTAATTGGGTGGTACAACCTGTTTTGCAAGTTATACAGCACTAAAAGGAAATTACTTTGTCGTTTTGTTTCCGTCTGTAACCTCTCCCATCTGTTTATCTCCGTTCTCACTTCAATAGACCTTACATCTAGGCAAATAATACGCCTCTTATTTGCCATCAGGAAAACCTGGCCTCTCTTTTACCTACATTCTTCTTCAGCCGCACACCCACGCCAGTTTGGCCGTGCCAGTCAACCCCATCCGCCGTGGAAGACGATTTGGTGAAGGGGAAGAAATTCAGGTCAAACTGGTAAGTGAACTACCCATGGGATTGCAAGGCAGGGCCTCGGGGCTTGACAAGTAAACACAAACGTCTTTAAACTTGAGCGCACTTTCTGTATCTACGGATGCTATTCTTCTATCTGCAGAAAATAACCATAATCAAATAGAACCTGAATTTAGTAAACTTATCATTTTTAAATGGAGGCTAAATCAGAACAGGGACTGTCTCATACTTAATTGTTGGTATCATTGCATTTTTCAAGACCAGAGGTAGTAAATTGATATTAAGTGGGTGGAGTCTGCTTCCAGGAATGCAGATACCGATATTAAAGAAAACGTTAAAAAAAGTTTCATATGAAGTACTTCATTTGTAAACAAAGGCAAAAATGTTTCTAGGCAACATATTTAGCTACTTGCACTTCGTTTATGATGATTTTCGGTACTCGATTGCAAACAAAACAAAAGGCAACCAAGCATTCCAGCCTAGCTGGTTGTGAGGTTATCGTGTTTAGTGGGAGGTCTCGAGTTCGAATCCCGCTAGGCACACAAGGGTTGAAAACTCAGTAGAGTGGGTTTCAGTCCAGATTACTCCAGGCTCCCCCCAGCCCTCCTCTCCCAGACCCCTGGAGTAAAAAAAAAGGTAACATGAAGTTTGTATGATTGTATACTCTTTTTATTCACATGCGATTCGAGTTTGACTCAGCTGATATCTAAATTTTTATATGTTTACTATATTTAATTTAGTAATTTCTTACGGAGTAATATTTGTATGCACCTTAAGAGTATATCTATACTAATATAGAGTTCTAAACAAAAATAGAGTTGATGTTATTGGAAGATAGAGTTATAATCCAAAATATAATGTCGTGTTTGGTGTGGGTTGAAGTAATCCCCACCTTAAAAGTTTGATATTGTTTGATGAGTTTTTTGTCCAACATGAGTTTATAATTTTGGGTTGCTGCAATTTTGGATTTAGTGTATTATAATTTATAAACTACTTCCATGGAGACGGGGTGCTCTTGCATTTCATCACTTTTCAACATGTACTACTTCCGTCCCTCAAAACTTTGCCAAATTTGACCGTCACGAGGATTAATAAAATAAAAACTGTGTGTTTGAGGTTTGTGCAGAGGAGAGAGAATTAACAGAAATCATATAAAAAGAAAATTGACAAAGTTTTAAGGGACATTATGCCAGTTGATTTATTACCTTTTGGCTCATTTGGATAATTGTATTCACACTCAATTATTTGACATTTTTGTAGGGCAAAACTAAATGTGTTAAAGATGGAGATGAATGTACCAGTATAAGGGTTGGTTTGCAACTGCTTTTAAAAAAGCACTTCTCATCTTTTGACTTTAAAAAAGCACTTATTTTCCAAAACACTACAACTTTTATTTTTCTCGGCTTCCGCGTCAAAAGTGCTTTTACTTTTTCTATTACATAAAAAGCATTTATTTTACCAAACACTACCCACTTTTACTTTTCAAAATCATTTTTTTCTCAAACACTATCAACTTTTATTTAATCACTTCTCCCCATTTCATTAAAAAAACACTTTTTTAAAAGTAGAAGCTGTTGCAAACAGACTCTAAATATCTGACATTTTTGCAGGGCAAGACTAAATGTCATTATCAAAGGCAAAAAAAGGAAGTCTCAACTCTCATTGATTCATTTTCAGTCACAATGTTGAAAGGATGCTCTAAATCACAAGCAAACCAATAATGGAAAAAGAAGGATAGGCAAGACATACACACCATATTTTCCTTAACCAAACAATAACAACTGCAACCAATATTTAACACTAATACCGCATTACCGCTCTACATATTTCTCAAACATCTATACAATACCTTAGAATAGTGAATTTCCAATGCAATCGGGCCAACTTGAAACACTTCATTTACTTAAATCAATTGCAACTTTCACTATAACTTCTCGTTTTCTCTTGAATTTCAAATATAATACTACGTATTATCTTTTAATCCTCACCACTGGCTTCTATTGGTTTTACAATGCGATGCTTGCTAAAATACAAAATGCTTTGAAGTTTTTGCACACACCTTTATTCTTTATTAAAACTTTCATGTCCTTTATTTTCATTCGATTTAACTTACAAGTAAATTCATTACATTATATATGTGTAATTGTTCTAATCACATCATTTTATTAATACATTAATACATCATATTAAAATTTACTTTTGTACTTTCAATTGCTTATATTTGGAACTACTTAGTCACACTCCCACCTACAGTTCTATGATAAATTTCTTAAATAAGCACCATAGTTTTTTAAATTTCCAATTCCATTGCGGTAAAATATACACATTGTCTGATATATATTGGGCATCATCCCACACGCGCATCGCGTGTCCAAAAACTAGTAAAAGTATAAGGGAAAATGGAAACTAATAATCCAACCTTTTAGCGATCTTCTTTCAATAATCCGACCTTTTGATTATTCATGAATAATCCGACCTTTGCACCTCATCTTCATTCATTGGTCCCTGGTCGGTTAATGACCTACTATTCCAAGTTATTTTCTTATCTTTCCAAAATATTATCTTTGTGAAAGATGAGATTTATGGCATAATGATTTGCAAAGATAAGAAAATAGCTTGAAATAGCAGGTCATCAACCGGTCAGGGACCAGTGAATGAAGATGAGGTGCAAAGGTCGGATTATTCATGAATAATCAAAAGGTGGGATTATTGAAAGAAGACCGCTAAAATGTTGAATTATTAGTTTCCATTTTCCCAAAGTATAAAACAGAACTGAGGATAGTATGAAACCGACCGTGTCGTGGGCTAAGATACCAACATCTCTAATGGGCCTTGGCAGTCCAAATTTCTAACGGCTCGCGTGTCTTTCTAAAATGAAAATGGAGTTGTAACAAGGGGAAATCCTAGAAACCGATTCTGAACTTTCTCTCTCTTCAATAGCTTTCTCTCACAGACAAAGACAGGCATCAATGGCGACTGCACGTGAGGAGAACGTGTACATGGCGAAGCTTGCAGAGCAAGCTGAACGGTACGAAGAGATGGTGGAGTTCATGGAGAAGGTGGTAGCGGCCGCGGACGGCGCCGAGGAGTTGACCGTGGAGGAGCGCAACCTTTTGTCCGTTGCCTATAAGAATGTGATCGGCGCTCGCCGTGCTTCGTGGCGTATCATCTCGTCAATTGAGCAAAAGGAGGAGGGCCGCGGAAACGAAGACCACGTTGCCTCAATTAAGGACTACAGATCTAAGATCGAGTCAGAGCTTACCTCGATCTGTAACGGCATTCTCAAGCTCCTCGACTCCAAGCTCATCGGCGCTGCTTCATCCGGTGATTCAAAGGTCTTCTATTTGAAGATGAAGGGTGACTACCACCGCTACTTGGCTGAGTTCAAGACCGGAGCCGAGAGAAAAGAGGCCGCCGAGAACACACTCTCCGCTTACAAGTCTGCCCAGGTTCTTTTCTGTCAGAGCAAACATTCATTTTTTTTAATCAACATTTGGTTTATGTATGGAAATTTAAAATTTTGTGTTCTTAATCTTTTCAAATCACAATGTCAATTTGAAACTTGAATCCCGTAAGTAATAGGCTGTTTGGACAGGAAATTGCCAATGCGGAACTAGCTCCTACACATCCCATTCGTCTTGGCCTAGCCCTCAACTTCTCAGTATTTTACTATGAGATCTTGAATTCTCCAGACCGTGCTTGTAATCTTGCCAAGCAGGTAAGTACCTAGGACCCCTTTTGCTCTTTGTAAATTTATTTCTACAAGCAGTAATGCATTGGGAGTCAGTTATCATTTTCTAAATTTCTGTTCATTGATAGCTCATGGTGCCTTTGGAGTGTTTTTTAGTTGCTGCTTTGATGATGTGCAGGCCTTTGATGAAGCAATTGCAGAGCTTGACACTTTAGGAGAGGAGTCCTATAAGGACAGCACTCTGATTATGCAGCTTCTTCGGGATAATCTCACCCTGTGGACATCAGACATGCAGGTAATTGATTCTTTTGTTTCTTGTTGACTATTTTCCAGAATAGACATTATTTATCTAAGCATGTATGCCTTGCAAAGGGTTCTATTGATTATAACACATGTGGCATCATCTACTTAGGATGATGGAGGAGATGAGATCAAAGAAGCTGCCAAACCTGATAATGAGCAATGAAGTCATTGAACCTTGTGAAACTTTGAAGAAAGCCTTGTTTTAGCTTGCTGCCAGGTTGAAATTGTGCTTTCTAGTGCTAGGCTTAATTTCAAGCATTTGCAACTTCTGAAAGATCTACTTTATATTTTATGTTTCTAATCCTTGGTTCTTATTAATTTTTTCCTACTTGGTTTTGTCATTGGGATGGTTTCCTTTTCCTCAAAGGAACTTTGCATTAAGCTATATTTTTTTTTTACTATATACCTATTATCAGAGTTTATTTTTAGAAATTACCTCTCGAATTAATTGTGTTCAGTATAGTTCACCAATCTTGATTTTTTGGTACACATTGTGAGTTTGTGACAGAGACCACATTGCACTTGACAACTTTCTATGGTAGGTGTTGACCATATATTTTTCTGATCAAGTAGGAAGTTTCCACCCCAACAATTGAGAGTTCTGTTTTTGTGGGCATATTCCTTTTAATGTCTACTAATGTCTAGGTGTTTTATCCCTTTTCTTTTAATTGAAAAAATAAGAAATACTAACCATTTAACTTTGTCCACCTGGTTGTAACTCAATTGGAGGAGCCATTTACACAACTTTTTTGTCTAGAGTGTGGGGTGCACAAAAATCTGTAGCAATGGAACTTTCACTGGAAAAGGTTTAGCAGGATGAAAACCACAGTTTTTTGTAAACTCCCACAACAAAAGTTTCTTTCTTTTTGACTAAATAAAGCTAGATGTCAATAGGCACTTTTAGCTAATCTTTATTAACTTTACAGTTGGTTTGATAAAACGCTTTTTGTGGATAAATTGAATGGCCTCCCTGTCCCCTGGGGTGATCTTTTACGATATGGTTGGTCTGCGTTGTACGTAGTTTTTTTTATTGTTGATCCAATATTATGCTGATTATGTCCATACCCCTTTGTGATTGGCTAATGCACATTATACACGGGAAATTTGGCTTGGGTTGTGGGTTGGTGAAGAGTGATTGGTAAGCCGACGAAAGACGCAAAGCTGCGCACCTCCAACCCTAATTGCTAGGGAGACGACCGCTCTTTTAACCTTCTGAATTGATAGACAATTATATATTTATATTTAAATCATGTTTATTAATTGGTTAAAGAAAAAAACTAGAGTACTCTGAATTTGAAAGCAACACACATTTGGGCATGTTCGATAATACTCCCTCCGTCATGAAAAGGTTGGCCAGATTTTCTTTTTGGATGTTCCAAAAAGACTTGTCATTTCCATTTAAAGTAAGAAATATGTGACTAAAGTTTATTCTCTCTCCTCAGTACAAGTTTCAATCACACAATTTTTATTTTATGAATTCACGTGAAAGTCACATTTGACCAACCTTTTCGGGACAGAGAGTACTAAATAGCAGCACATAGGGGGGAATATTTGATTTGACGTACTGAATCACCCCTGGCAGAGTAGCAGCACATACATTTGGGCATGTTTGATAATTCTAAAATTTACCAAATCAACTCAATTTCGTGAGTGATAAAATGTTGGTTGAAGTGGTGAATCAAATGTTATGAATTTTTTTTGAACTCCAAATGTTATGAATTGTGAGACAATTATATTTGAATTATATTTTAATAATAGATTAAAGAAAAGTTATATGTGAGATTGTGAGACATTTGCTTCAGTAAGTTGAGTTTATATATTTCTAAAACAATCGTATATTTTATTGGGGGCATGTGCCCCCAACACCAATACACTGCATCCGCCCCCGTGTATAACGTTCAACATACACAATAGGCCATTAATTAAGGTCAGGATTAGGGAAAAAAGGGATGGCACTCCATCCCTCAGGGCTCCCAACACCAACCAGACAATTAGATGAGGTGATGTAAATTAGAAAGGCCAAGATTAGGTATTTGAGGAATGTAAGTGAGACATTTAGGTACGAAAATATAACAAAAGAAAATGTTATTTTGACTACTCGTCGACGCCCATTAACCTAATTAGCCAGTTCACTGTAATTGCCACCACTCGTTAACTTTCAGGAGTTTCAGCAAGTTTGAGTCATTTACCCGCATCGATCAAGACATTCAATTCTCCATATACGGAGTATGAAATTAACTTTTTTTTTTAGGGAAGATCGTAACTTTAGCCTTTTACCTTTCGATTATGTAATTGTTGGTCCTGTAATAATATAAGATCTTTTCCACCTTAGATAAAATATTTAATAAAAAGATAATGTTGAGAATGTTGATAGTGATAATGATAATGATAATGAAAATATAGTAATAATAATAATAACACAATAACAATAGTATAAGGAGTAATGTATAAAATAATACTATGTAATAATAATACTTCTAGTAATGATTGTACGGAGTAGTGACTTTGCATGTATAATCAGTTTAACGTTATAATAATAATAATAATAATAATAATAATAATAATAATAATAATAATAATAACAATAATAATAATAATAATAGTAACAATATAAAATTCAATAGTAACACAATTGGACTTGTATTGATTTGGACTTTGAGGCATGATGATATACCTTCAACGAATTCAGGAAGGTAAGAAACTCCTTCTCGGCTTTGGTTTTATGTTTAGCAAATTTTTTTCTTTCCTTTAGCACGGAACTTTCCCACACCGGTGGGAATAGAAGAGTTCCACTTCACGGAACATTATAAATAATCTCATCTACGCTGCATGAGATTAGAAACCGCCTGCTAGGTTTGAGAAAGCCAAACGCTGATGAAAACCTGAGCCTGGAATAAATTGTCTGCCTTTTCTCGCGCATAAGGGCAATGGAAGAGAAGCCATATATGGATCCTTCAGAACCACGATTTGTCCCTCGCTTTTCCGAGCCATATGCGGATCCTTCAGAAAGACGATTTGTCCCTACCTTTTCCAATCGATATCCAGATTCGCGTCCAATTCCGGAAGACGACGAGCATGGACTTGATCAACACAACTATTGCGCTAAAATGGCTTTGGAATATTATAACAAGAAAAATGGGAAGAGGTATGAACTTGTGGAGGCTGGGTTTAGTTCTGGCTTTATAGCTCCTGGGATCTGGTTTCACTGCAACTTCAAGGCTAGGCCATGCGGAGATGGGAATGAGAAGACCTCCACGAGACCACGAAGCTCTTCTTTGCTGGTGAAAACCTGAGCCTGGAACAAATTGTCTGCCTTTTCTCGCGCATAAGGGCAATGGAAGAGAAGCCATATATGGATCCTTCAGAACCACGATTTGTCCCTCGCTTTTCCGAGCCATATGCGGATCCTTCAGAAAGACGATTTGTCCCTACCTTTTCCAATCGATATCCAGATTCGCGTCCAATTCCGGAAGAAGACGAGTATGGACTTGATCAACACAACTATTGCGCTAAAATGGCTTTGGAATATTATAACAAGAAAAGTGGGAAGAGGTATGAACTTGTGGAGGCTGGGTTTAGTTCTGGCTTTATAGCTCCTGGGATCTGGTTTCACTGCAACTTCAAGGCTAGGCCATGCGGAGATGGGAATGAGAAGACCTCCACGAAGCTCTTCTTTGCTGAGATTCATCAGGACTCTAAACTCCGAAGAAATGTTGTTAATGCCTGTCGTATTTTAAGAGGTAAAACTACTCTTGGTTGTCAGTTTTGCCGCAATGATATTGCTCATCCTACCCATGGATTTCGTAAGGGCCTCTACCGTTATGAACCCCGTGCATTGCGTTCTAAAAAGGGTACAAGTTTGGTGGATGGTGGTACTGGATATAGCAAGGAAATTTCCTGAATGTGGATGGTGTTTTTTTGGGAAATTATCAATGACCTCCTTTCAGGTTTGATATATTATCACTCACGTATCTGCACTATAAAAGTTGTACTCCCCTCCCTATCCGTTAATGATGGTTAGTAACTTTCTGTCACGCCCCGGACCTCCCCGGACACGTCAACAATCCGCCGTACAATACGAATAGTCAACCGCAGTCCAACACATTCATATTATACAAGGCGTCTTGAATATCATTCACACATATAACATCCATAAACATACATAATAAGTAATTTAGTACACAGCGGAAAACATAGTATGAAATCAAATGCCACACGAGGCAAACATGAGCACGCAGGCTCTAAAGTAAGATATCCATGAGTAAATTTATTAGCGTTCAAATCAGAATGGAGGAAGCACGAACCAAGTCTTCTCTCCGGGAAATCACTCGATCAACGAGCACAGGAAGCAAGCTCTAGCCTCAATCTGAAATGGTGGTGGGACGCCCCCGAAGGGGTCAGTACTCTATAGGGCTATAAAGTACTCGTGTGGATGGCATCTAAGAGATATACAACAAGTATTTCAAACATAAGACCCTCAAATAGGGTGATAGTACGATATGACTGTAACCTCGAGTTACCCCATTTAAAAATATACTTACTTTATATAAAAGTCAAGTAGTCGGCCCGTAGGCCCATGTTTATTTAGAAATCACCATTTCCCATCCCCCGTGATTACTAGTCACGACAACTCATAGAGTACATCACATTACCGTTGCATAGCAAGGGCTCAGCCCAACTACATTTCTATGCAATCCTTTATGTCAAGTACATCCTATCATATTTGCATAGCAAGGGCTCAGCCCAACTACATTTCTATGCAATCCTTTATGTCAAGTACATCCTATCATATTTGCATAGCAAGGGCTCGGCCCAACTACATTTCTATGCAAATCACAATTTATATCCTATCACATTTGCATAGCAAGGGCTCGACCCAACTACATTTCTATGCAAATCACAATTTACATCCTATCACATTTGCATAGCAAGGGCTCGGCCCAACTACATTTCTATGCAAATCACAATTTACATCCTATCACATTTGCATAGCAAGGGCTCGGCCCAACTACATTTCTATGCAAATCACAATTTACATCCTATCACATTTGCATAGCAAGGGCTCGGCCCAACTACATTTCTATGCAAATCACAATTTACATCCTATCACATTTGCACAGCAAGGGCTCGACCCAACTACATTTCCATGCAATCATAGAGTCCGGCTCTAATTCCTCATTATAGTCCAATTCCTAAGCAAACCTATGCCCAGGATTGACATCTCAGTAATCTACCTTGGGTCATTCTTAATGACTGCCCATAACTTACCCTTAGCTTCATACTAAGTCATTCTATACACTTGAGGTACATTCAAGTGCATTTCATACAATCCAATACTTAGGATCAATTCTATCAACAACTTCAAATAATCACTAACTAGTATTTCAATACTATTAAGATTATTGTCATCATACGAATATCCTCATTTTGTAATTCTCTACATATTTATAAGTATGTAGTAACAACTTAAGTACTCAATTTCAATAC